TAACTCTGTAATGTCTGTACTGATCCTTTGCTATTTTGTAAAACGTTGTCGATCTGTTAGTATTTTCCTCCTTTTATTTCTAAAATAAAAAAAAACAAAAAACAAAAAAACAAAAAACCAGTGTGGAACAGGAAATGGTGGTGGTGTCCAATCTGATTCTAAAGTTTGAGAAGTTGTGCAACATCCAACAGGCACTCAGTTGTTATGACATAAATATTTATGAGCTGTTTGGACCTATCTTCTCAACAAAAAGGACTGCAGATATGTCTTTTGATTTAGGGGTGTTTTGGAAAAACTATATTAGTAAGGGTGTCATGATCTGAGAAATCTGGGGAAACTCTGGTCAGTGATCACCACATGAGCTCTTCTTCAAAAAATTGGTTGTGTGATTCTCTTGGAAGGATGTAAAAGAGCTACCTCCAGACCCCAACAGAACTGCTGGTGTCGGGAGGGCAGGTGTGCCGGCCAGAGGAGGAAGAGGGTGGGCCTGACTAATTATGAGGCAAAAGCAGACCACCCCTTAGGCTCATAGATGGGCTATATTTCTGCAGTAGGGAATTTGTGTGTGTGTGTGTGTGTGTGTGTGTGTGTGTGTGTGTGTAATTAAATTTGGATACATTTAGGTAGAGCATCTCTGATAAATTACAATATGTTAATCCTCTGTTGATGGTTACATCTATTTATGGTGATAGTCGCATGTGTCTTACCTTATTCTTTTGGGTTATCTACCTGGCCCAAGAAAGCATTTGAATTTGTCACTCCTTGTGAGAGGAGACAAAACACAGCACCAAGGACACAGCCACACAGACAAGGAGCTGCAGGGATGGGGGCGGAATGACCCTGAGCCTCGTGTCCCAGCTGATTGTCTCGCTGCTTTGTCTTCAGTAACCTTCACATGCTTTTTAGGAAAAGAGGCACGTTCCTCTTTATGTCTCTTCAACTCCTCCTTAATGCAAGGCCCACAACACAATTCGGCCACCAAAAAAAATTTAATCAACTGAACTGCGGAAGGAAAAGGCACTTTTTGAAACCAAGAGAAGTGGTACAGATATACAATGAGAAAGTGTTAGGCAGCTCAATTATCTGAAAAGCCCCAAAAGTGTGGGCTGTATTTCCAGGGTTCTATGGGACAAAAAAGTCAATATCATAAAAAAAATCCCAGGGTCTCAGTACAATAGCACGGAATTTGTGCACTGTGTGACTTTGATTGTGGACACCCAGGCACCTGGACGGTCCAGGCCTTTCTCAGTTGTGTTATTTGAGCCTCTTAGAGCGATGCCTCTCTCTTTAGTATCTGCAGAGTATTAGAGATGTGCAGTCTCTGGTGCGGAGGGTGTGTAAATTTAAGATAAATATATTGCCTCCTCTTGAAATGTCAACCTCACGCAAAGATTTTGCAGAAAAATTACTTCTTTATATCAAAACAAAGGTACTACAATTATGGAGGAAATGTAAAATTCATATGTGTTTTTACAATAGCATGTAAGATGACAAAGCAGTTGGTTCTAAGTACAGGCCACTGTGGACACTTCAGTGGGAGGGGGTTTGAGGATCACGATGTGAGATAACAAGGCCACATCTGGGCTTCTGGATAACTGGGGGTGACGACGCTTTTGTCTGCTCAGGTTACAGGATCTCTGCTTGAGGAGACAACTCGGAAGTGGGCTCAGTACAAGGATAAGTGTCTGCAAGACTTACTCAATGAACCTTCTGGTAAGTGCTTGTGGTAGTTATCAATAGCTATGTAACAAGTTGCCCCAAAGTTAGCAGCTTAAAACAATGATAAAACAATGGAGTCACCTGAAGGCTTATGCACGGCCATGTCTTTTGGTTGGTAATCACCTCTCCATTGAGAGTCAAGCAACCAGTGGTAGCCAGAGCATTTCTATGTGGTTTCTCCAAGTGGACTGGGCCTCCTCAAAGCATGATGGCTGGCTTCCTCAGGAAGGGATAGCCTGACCAGAGGCCAGATTGCCTCTTTTGACCTCGCTCTAGAAATCACTCATCACCTCTGCCATGTTCTATTGGTGAGAGGCTCACAGAAAGAGAAAACAGACCCCTATCCCCACTTCTCACTGCAAAATAATGTGAGATGAGATATATGTGGGTGCGGCCTTCTTTGACAAAAGCCATCTGCCACAGCACAACCACTACCTGGTCATCTGACATGAAGAACTATTGTAAAGTGACCTGGGAGGCTATTAAGTGAGTTGTTGGGTCAATGGAGGTCTTCCCATCTCCCAGGGCATTAGTTGTATCTGAGGAATGACATTTCTTTTTTTTTTTTTTTTTTTTTTTTTTTTGTTTTTTTTTTTTGTACTGGGAGTTGAACTCATGACCTTGCACTTGCTGGGCAGTGCTGCACCACTGAGCTATGTGTCTGGCCTTTTTTTTGAATAACATTTCTTTTTCAAGTTTCCCTGAGGTTTAGACTTCAGTATGTTTTAGCAAATCTGCATTACTTTGGTCAGTCTGCTGTCTCACCTGCATACTGACCCGGGTAAATCAACTTGTATCTACCCAGAAGAAGAAGAAGAAGAAATCTGGGTGTTTTGGTGCATGTACTCAGGAGGCTGAGGCAGGAAGATCTCTGTGAGTTCAAGGTCAGCCTGAAGTACAAGGCAAGAGCCTGTCTCAAAGAAAAAAAAAAAAAAAAAAAACAAAGGGGAAGAAGAAGGAGAAGAAGAAGGAGGAGGAGGTGGAGGATGAAAAGAAAGGGGTAGGGGAGGAGGAGAAGAAGGAGGAGAAGAAGAAAAACAAAGAGAAGAGGAAGGAGAAGAAGAAGAAGAGGAAGGAAAAGGAGAAGAAGGAGGAGGAGAAGAAAGAGGAAAGAAGAAAAAGGAGAAGAGGAAGGAGAAGAACAGGAAGGAGAAGAAGAGAACAAGGAGGAGGATGGGGGAGGGAGGAGGAGGATGGGGAAGGGGAGGAGGAGGCAAGGAAGGAGCAGCAGGAGAAGAAGGAGCAGGAGGAGAAGCAGGAGGAGCAGGAGGAGCAGGAGGAAGGGGCTGGAGGAGGCGAGAGTATCTGCACTGTCTCTGAGCACTGAGGACTAAGCTTAAAGGCTGCTCCCTCCGTGTTCCTGGCTCCTTTTGGATCACTCCTCTCAGGAGCCTGGAGGCTTCAGGAACCATCAATTCTCCTTTCCTCCCTTGACCCAAGTCACAGCTTTCAGGTCATCCCCAGCTCCTTCTAAAGACCCCTTTGGCCCAGACCGCTGGCAGTCAAGTCCTGCTGTCAGCTACAAGAACCCACCTCTGTCCAGGGAATACAGCTTCTAAGGTCAAGGTGGGGTGGTTTGTCTTCTTTACCCGCGGCTGTGCTGTGAGTGGCATGCCCAGGTGAGCACCACCTCACACAGACCAGGTGCTGACACCTGGCAGCCAGGTTGGCAGGAGGCCCCATGCCAGCTACCGCCTGGTACATCGATAGTGCAGTAACCTGGCTGTTCCCTTTGAGAAGCCTGGACTTCTGGCTTAATAGGGAGAGACTGAGGGGAGAGAACAGAGAGGAGGATGCCTGGTTCAGAGTAATCCAGGAGCTTGTGATATGGATACTTGAGACACTGCTTAAAACACCTCTGTTTCATCTTGGGAGGCCTGCGAGGTGGAGTTCTAAATTTATAACTTCCCATTGCCAAACACTGAGCTGTAAACCATCCCGTAAGCTTGAGACGGTACAAATATCTCACAATAATCATTGAATTCATATTGGATACACAGAACTTGTGTTGTGCATATGTGACTAAGAACGTAAACTCCACACATCCCCCTCTATCTGCTGGCCATTGTGCATTTTTCACAGTTGGTATGTCCTAGGATTTAACTGGTAAAGGCTTGGCAATTGTTTGGTTAATTATAGAATACAAGGCACTGGTTGGGCCTACACATGTCCTCCTACCCTGAGTTTCAGTGAGAGATGTAAAATAAAGCAAAATCAGCATGACGTGTACACAGCAGTCACCGACTGGAGGTCAAGGTGTATAGACAGTGACACAATGTTTTGGGCTGCACTCAGCATTGCTGTGCTTCCCAAATCACTCCTCATCCCAGCCCACTGAGAGAGAGGAAGGTCCATGCTGGTCTCTGCAGAGGTTACACAAACTTTCAATGGCAGAAGGTGGGCTCCGGGCTCCGGGGTCCCTCTGCTTCTATCGGTGGACCCCTGTGCTCATACACTAATTTTGTTCTGGCTCCTCTCCCCTCTGTAGGTATTTTTTGTAATGGAACATTCGATCGGTATGTGTGCTGGCCTCATTCTCCTCCTGGAAACGTCTCTGTTCCCTGCCCTTCATACTTGCCTTGGTGGAATGAAGGTAATGAGTCTCATTTTACCAATTTCTGACAGTTTCTTTCCGAAGGGCCTTCCTCCTGGGCTTAGCAGCCACTAGCTATTTAGAGAAAGGGCTCCACTCAATATTCCCAAGTCCTCTCCCACACAGAGGCCTCCATCTAGGCTTTCAGCATTACCTCTTCCTTCTCCTCTTGTCTCCTGCAACTTTTATGCTCCTTACATTCCATTTATAGTTAGCTCTTTTTGTCTTGAAGATTATAGAGTACAGACCTGGCTACCACAGACACAATCTGGCTACTCTGAGGGCTAAGAACTCTCACATTCAAACAGAATAAAGAGTGCGATGAAAGCCTGAAAAGCTCACATCATGCAACTTTGGGTTTGTTAGATTAGCAAGAAGGCCTTTGAACCTTCCCTTGTATCAGCCTTGCAAAGAGATGCCACTGAATTGGTGTTTTTAAGTCCCATGGGGCTTAGATGAAGAATTTAGGGACTCTGCTTACTCCAGTCGTGATTAAAGAAAGTGGATATTATCACTTAGAGGCTTAGGATCATATTCCACCCCACCTACCACAGAAGCCTGAGCTCTTCGTCATTTTATTCTGAAAGGGGACAGGAGCAATTATAGGTTAGAACTTTGTTGTCTCTGACTAAAGACTGTGGACAAACATAAAGATAGCTGAACCTCTTCTCAGGAAACATAAGATATGAAGATCCAGGTAAAAGAAAGTGAGGAGGGGTTTCTGAGAAGGTATCTTATAATCTTATATTTAATTTCAGCCCAATGATATTTCACATCCATGGTACTTTGGTTTCAATATTATGAGGATGAGAGAGTGGAGGGAGAAGAAGAGGGGACAGGAGAAGGAGGAGGAACCAGAGGAGGAGGAGGAGGCAGAGGAGGACGAGAGACATCTCTGTGTGGGAGAGTTAGGGACACCTATTGTGGGACGGTCTTCTGATGAACTCCAGTTGAAATGAACCCAGTACGCATGCAGATGTGAGGTTTCACAGATGGCAGGCCAGAAGGTACTAGAGACTTGCTGCGTCAGCTTGGTCAGAACGATGTCAGCAAATGGTCCCCATAAAAGCCACCTTGCAGAGGGGATGGCACGGAGTCAGGACCCTGAGGTTAGACTCAGTGCCTCTAGTTTGCATTTTAAAACTTTGAGCATGTTGCCACGGTTTCCTCAGCTGTGTTTACCTCCTGTGTAAAATGAAACGAACAATAGCTAATTCTCAAGTTCTTTCTGAAGAACAAACGAGAAGGAACAAAGAGATTCTGCCCCCTGGTAGGTATTTTATACCTGAAGCTGAGTTCAAGGTTGAGACCTGTGGATTCCCTCAGGACATTAAGGCCCCAAATATCCACAGATTCCTCAAAGGCACATGGAATAGGCTACCACCTCCCAGCTCCACCATCCATCTGCTCCTTCCCAGAGCTAAAAGTACAGGTCTGCTCCACTGGAGGAGGAAAAAGTGGTCCAAAGTCCAAGTCTACAATAAAGTGGAGATTTTTTTTTTTTTTTTTTTTAATGATTTCTGGGCTTCTGAACTGTACTAAAAGGAATGTGATTTGCCAGAGGTGAGAAGGGACCCTCCCCCTCAATATTTTTTGTATTAAAAAAGGCAGAATGATGATGTGAGGTAAAGTTAAAAGAACAAACGTGATACAAGAAGGGCGGATGTCAGAGGATGTTGATTCGCTGCAGTGGCCTCCACGGCCGACTGTGAAAGAGACCGTGTGTGACCCGAGGGCTCCTCTGGAGAGGAAAGTTGTGCAGAGCCAGGCAGGCATGAGGGCACGAGGAGCACACGATGCTTCATAGTTTGGGAAGACAACATTGACAGCATGTAGCTGTTAGGCTGAGAAAAGGAGGGGAATCAGGAAGGTACTTCCCTGGCCCAGAAAAAGAGATGACAGGGTTTGGATTCAGGCAGAGGTGAGAGGTTTGAAAAGAAAGGACAAAAAGATGAAAGAAAAATATTGAAGGTAGCATGGTCAAGCCTTGTCATTAGAGGGAGGAGAACTGAAGGAGAGAGAGATGTGGAAAATAGAGAAGAGGAAACAAGCTCCTCCTCCTCCGTTCTCCAACTCAGGGACAGCCACGCAATCTACCCTGTCCCACTCAAGCTCACCCCTCCTGTGGTTGCCAGCTGGGTCCTCTGGCTCCTCCTCCCCTGCACTCCCTGCTGATACACTGGGGTGAGGGCCCAGCTGCACCCGCTGTGCTGCTTCCTGTCTCCTCATTGTTCCCAGCCTATGAGCTGGTGCTTTTTAACCACCCTCACAAAGCTTTTCAAAATGCCAATCAGACCAGGTTGGTTCCCGCTGCAATACTCACAAATGGCACGCGTGACCCCTGCCGCCTGGCCTTGCTAACCAGTCTCGCACTCTCCCCTTTCCTCCTTTATTTCCAAATGAACGGCTTCATTTTGTGATTGTATTGATACACCCCAGCCAAATGAACGGCTTCACCTGCCTGGCTACTGGCACCCACAGCCTGTGCTCACCCTTCTGTCCAGGCTGTCTCCCACGCTTTTTTGCCTATAAACTTCAATTCCCGCCTCCAGCCTTTCATCCTTCTAGCAAACTTCTCCAGCTTCTCCCCACAATACAATGAACCTCTGCCTTTCTGAGGCCTCTTCCATGCCTGCATGGTCTGTATGTTAGCATTTAAAGCAGTTTATGGCCTTCTTATTTGCATTGTCCTGGCTAGAATTCAAGTTGTGCCCTTTTCTCCTAGCATCCTCGGCATCAAGCGTTTTGACCGACACAGAGAGCACAAGGGTCAATGACATTACTGTCATTCCCTCTTTCAACAATTTTTTTTTTGAGACAGGGTCTTGCTATGTAGTTGAGGCTAGCCCTGAACTCACTATGCAGCCCATGGTGGGCTTGAACTCACAGCAAGCCTCTGCCTCAGCTTCCAGAGTGCTGGGATTACACGCATGTGCCCATCAAGCCTGGCTTACAACAAATATTTTTCAAACACCTACAAGTGTGCCAAGTGTTATTTTTAAGTGCTTAGATTGTATTGATGACTAAAACTGAAGGATATCCTGTTTGTGTGATTCATATTCTATCAAGAGAGATAGACAATAATCAATAAACATCATATAGATAAATACAGATAAGATATATTTAAGGTGGAGCGGCAGGAACGGATGGGAGGATTGGGGCTTGGGGAGTCAGTTGAAATCATAAACTGGGAAGTCTGGGAGGGTGTCAATGGCTAGGTGGTGTTTTAGCAAAGGCTTATGGGAGGTGAAGGTTGTAGCCTATGGGGGGAAGCGTGTGCAGGACAGGACACACATCAGTGCTGAGGTCTTAGGTGGGGAGCAATGGCTTGTCTGTTCCAAAGAGAGGAGGCAAACAGTGCTAGGGGTGAGGAGCAAGAGAGGAAAGAGAAGATTTAAACAGCTATTTGGGGCCAGATCTTACAGGGCTTACAAAAGGACACTGATTTATTCTCAAGTCTTTGGAAAATTTTGAGCAGAAGCATGACTCAGTGCCAGGGACATCTGATCCAGCTCATGGGCTGCTGAGCTACCCACAGATGAGAGGGGAAGACCGATGGAGGAGTTTGCACCTTACAGGGCAGAGAGGATGATTCCAAGGTGGAGAGATGCAGGAGGTGAAGAGCAGTGGGCAGATTCTGCATGTATCTGGAAGCAGAGGTGATCGGCCAATAGAGCAGGCAAGGGCTATAGAGACAGAGAGAAGGCAGGTGGGAGTCTAAGGCAGTGGTGGTGAACCTATGGACAAGTGTTTTTCTTTTAAGACAAAAGATGTTACTGCGGGAGTTGCTTTTTCTAAATGAAAACCTCAGGATTCAGGTTGAAGTGCAACGTTGGCATGTTGTAATAAATAAGTGGTTTTGGGTTGCAGTTTGGGCACTCATCTCTAAAAGGCTTGCCATCACTGCTCTAAGGTTTGGGGTCAGAGGACTGGCCAGATGGGCTTGCCACCCACTGAGGGAGGAGACTAAGTAGGTAGAGCAGACTTGAAAAGAAGACGAATAACTTGGTTTGATGCATAGCATTTGAGATGTCAATTAGAAACCCTAGCAAAGCTGTGGGATAGGCAGGTGAACTGATTATGTAGATACCCATCAACAAGTTGAGCAAATAGCTACTGTTGGTCTATGATGTGTGGGATCTGGACTAGAAAATTCTAACTAGCTTCCATTTCTTTCTTTTTTTTTTTTTTGGTTTTTCTCCAGTACCAGGAACCGAACTCACGACCTTGCACTTGCCAGGCAGGCACTTTTGCCGCTGAGCTAAATCCCCAGCCCCTAGCTTCCATTTCTTATTTGCAAATCCAGTCCTTGGTTCTCCAGGTAGGAAGACTTTCGGGGAGCAGCTCCTGGGGCAGATGTGCCTGAGTCGAAGCAGCACACGGCATGGCAAAGTGATTTACCCATCCTTTGCACACACGTTCTTTCATACAATCTTCTCTCAAATCACAGAGGGTGGGCACAATTATTGTCCCTCATTTCTGTGGCTCAGAGTCTGGGAGCCTGGACCCAGGACACCACCTCCTTGTAGGTGGCACATGAGGTTCCAGCCCTGGGTCAGTCTGCTCTGCACTCATTGCTATCTCTTCTTCCTGGCTGGTGTGGCTTCCTGGACATCAGGAAGAGATGCCCCACTCTTACCAGGCATGGGAGTCCAGGTTGGTATCTCCCAGCTGGGCTGTGCCTTACTTGGGTTATAATATCTCTGAGTCACCCAGAGCTGTTCTAACTTGGGAGACTTGAGGTAAACACAGCAGACATTGGTGGATCCTGGTTTGTTATGAAATCTAGAAGCTTCTGTGTTTTCCTTTCCACCCCAAATAAACAGCTGGGATGTTAATGAGCCCCTAAAGGGGAAAATGAAATTCCCTTTCTCTGGGATTTTCCACAACTCTGCAGCCGGGGCAAGGGCTTTCCAGCATGCTGGCGGAATGGGCCGTATGTTCTGACCTTTCCTCTAGAGCTTTGTTTACTTTCAGAGAGCTCAGGAAGGGCCTACAGACACTGCCTGGCTCGGGGGACTTGGCAGACACTAGAGAACACCACAGATATTTGGCAAGATGACTCTGAATGCTCCGAGAACCACAGCTTCAAACAAAACGTGAGTCTGCCCAGCTCGGTGATAAGACATCCAGGGCCCAGGCCACCCTCTTCTGGGCAGCCAGGAGGCCAGCCAGATTTAGGGGTCATACAAAGAAATGCCTTCCAGCACATCTGCCCTGAACTCAGCTAAGGAAGGTCCCTAATAATGCACAGCAGCAACCCCCATGACAGCCACAGAATTCTCATGACTACGGTGAGATGTGAAATCCTAAGGGAAATCAGTCTCCCAGGGTTGCTTCTAGCCTTTGTATTTGCAGCTTCCTATGCCCAGAACAAGTGCCCCAGATCCCCTGTGACTGACTCTTTCTCATCACTCAAGTTCAGTTCAAATGTCTCCTTAGAGCTCCATGCCCACCCCATCCAGAATGGCCGCCATGGTCACTTTGTACAGCAGCCCTGATGTAGTTCCTTTACTGCACCTGTTACTCTCTGAAACTCTCAGGTGTTTGCTTATTTGTTCTGTAGTTCTCTCACCAGACTGCAGATCCAGTGGTCATGAGGACCAGTGGTCATGTTGTGCTTCAGAGGAGGCAGCACAACATGGAATATGGGGCTAGACGGGATACGCATTCAGACCATGTATTCAGACCCTTCACTTCGTGGCTATGAACTTGGCACAAGTTGCTTTACCTTTCTGTGCCTCTGCTTCCCCACCCATTCCAAAGGAATCTTATTTGCTGCATGTGATCGTTGTGAGGATTTAGAGAGTTAAGATATATAAATTTCTTAGAAGAAAATTTGACATGTAGTCAGCCAGCTCTGAGTAGGAGTTACTGCCCCATCGCCAGGACCCAGCGTTAGTCACGGCTTAGCAAATCATCCCAGCAGCTGGGATGAGCAAACACATCCATGCTTCAGACTTTTCTCCATGTGTTCTTATTCCAGAAGCCTACTCTGCAGTCCCCCCAGGGCCAGCTCTTCTCTGCTTGCTTGCCGGACTCCTGTTGTTCTTCCTAGTCATATAAGTTCTACCCGTGTTCCTTCAAAGGCAGGTGGAACAGAGGCAGGTGGCTCAGAGGAGAAGATGCAAAGGTTTTGCACTAGGCACTGGGAATAGTGACTGAGACATAGATGCTGACCTCCTGGAGCTTAGAGTCTCATAGAGCATAGAGGGAGGGATAATATATAATAACTAATGGATAGAAGTATAGGATGCCCAGAGTCACAGCAGAGGGGACACTGATGCTGACTAGGGGCTAAGAAGGCTGCCCAAGCTGAGTCCTGAAGGATGAGAAAGAGATGACGATGGGAAGGATGAAAGAAAATAGAGGGCTTCCACTACTAGGGTGAGATGCAAAACCCTAAGGGAAGTCAGTCTCCAGGTTGGTCTTAGCCTTTGTACTTGCTGTTCCTGTGGCTGGGACATGTTTCTCTCCTCTCCTGAGGCTGGCTCCTCTTTGTCGTTCAGGTCTCAGATCAATGTCTCCTTCAAAGGGCAACTTTGAGGGCTGCTGTGCAGGTGATGTAGAGTTCAGAAAAAGGACACAGGTGGAGCTAGAGACCTCAGGAGAGGTGAGATGCTGAAGGCCCTCTGTGTCCTTAAAGGACTGGGACTTTGCAAGTTCAAGTGCAGAAGGAGCATAACTCAGCATAGGTGCTGATAGGGTTGCTGTGGCAAGTTAGAGAAGGCTGGGGCTGCCAGGCTGGAGGTAGGAGGCAGGGTAACCTGGTAGAATCCATCTCTGTAACTCAGCTCAGATGTGAGGAGAACGCCAGCGGAATGGAAAGAAGAAAGAGGGTGGGTTTGCAGGTTTCCACGCAGAGAGATGATGGGACCAGGTGCTGGAAGGCCTGAGAGGGTGAAGTTGAGAGCACTAAGGTCAGGTTCCTGAACTGGACCTCTGAGGAGGTGTAAAATGCACCTCACAGAGATGGGGAAATACAGGAAGAAACTTGGCCTCTCCATCTCTGGGTGTTTTCCTAGCTAATTCTTAGCCTAATTTGACCCTGTAAACCACCCTTCTCCCCTAACCCCTGTAGTTGTGGCCAAGTTCATTCATCACATAATTGGATTTGGTTTCTCATATCACTTTAATACTGTCCCATCAATGCTAAATGTATTTTAATAGTTGAAAGTTTGGGACAGAAGCCAAGGAGTTCAGTTCTAGAAACACTGTCTGTGTGACCTGAGCACCTACTTCTCTCCAGCCATGCTTAAAATGGAGTTGACAATGGGGCGTGGTGGCACACACCTGTAATCCCAACACTTGGTAGACTGAGGCAGCAGGATCGTTGTGAGTTCAAGGTCAGCCTGTGCTACACAGCGAGACCCTGTCTCAAAAACAAAAGCAATCCCCCCTCAAAAGTTGAGGTGGATAAAGCCCTCTTTGCCTGGCTTCTTTGTTAGTTAGCTTTCTGTCACTGTAGTAGATAGCTGAGATAAACTACTTTTAAAGAGGAAAGGTTTATTCTGGCTCACAGTTTCAGAGGTTTCAGGGCATAGCTGCTTGGCTGCATTGCTTTTAGACCTGAGGCAAGGCAGTACATCATGTTTTTTTTTTTTTTTCTTTGGTTTTTCTCCAGTACCGGGAACTGAACTCACGACCTTGCACTTGCCAGGCAGGCGCTTTTGCCGCTGAGCTAAATCCCCAGCCCCAGTACATCATGTTTAAGCATGTGGAGGAGGAAAATGCTCACCTCATCGCAGCCAGGAAGCAAAGGGACAGAGGGCACGCCCCCAGTGACATAACTTCCTCCCAGTAGGCCCCACCTCTTAAAGGGGCCACCACTTACCGATAGCTCCTCAGGCTGGCAACCAAGCCTCTAATGCATGCGCTTTGTGGGACACTTCCAAACCATAGAAGCCTAGTTCAGAAGCTTTAGGGTGCAATTAATTAGGAATTATTAATTCATGTACTGGTATCAATTAGGCATGTAAAAGTTACCATTATTGCATTTCTTTTCAGAATGCCTTTTTTGGTCTCTGCCCTCCCTGGCTTCTCCCTTCCTGTTCTATGCCTAGGGCTGTAGACAGTCTGTCAATGTGAATTTTGGTGTCCATAACTGGCTTTTCTGTACTGTTTCCTTGGTTGTTTTTTTTTAAATGTAATTTTTCATTTGACTTTCAGAAATAAAAAACCTAGTTTTCTATGAAGCTATTAAGGTCAATGTACAGAATGTATCATTTTATTTATAAGTCTAGCAAGTTTTGATATTTTCAAGGATGTCTTTAATTTTTGTTGCAACTACACACTAGTTATTTAAATACCATTTTACATGCTGAGCTTCATTAGCACATCTCAGATACCAGATGCCTTAAATATTTTAAATATCTTAAGTATATGCTGTAACAAGCAGGTACTTTTTAATTTTCATGTAATTCTAGTTCAGTGAATACAGTAAGATTGCATACTGAGATTTAACTTTCTTAAATATGTTAATACTGTTTTCATTAAGTTTCCAACTTAAAGTCTAAACCAAGTACTTATTGACATATTTCATATTAGAATTATAATAGTAATTGAGTAGATCCTCTACTATACTGTGTTCTCTAAATACTAATATCAATTATATACAGCCTGTGCAAGTGATTTAAAAATGTCTATATGGAAGATGGACAGAAGGACAGATGAGTGATAATGCCAAATTAAGTTTAATTTTGGAATCTGAATGGTGTGCATGTAAGTTTTTAAAATAAAATTCTTTCAAATTTTCTACACATTTGAAATATTTCATAATAAATATTAAGAATACTAAGGAAAAATACTATATCAGAGTTTGACACAAAACTATTCATAGAGGTAATGGTTTGGTTAGACTTTACCATGCCTATGACAAAAAACTAAAATTTCCACACTAAGGAAAAAAATTGTCTCAAGAAAATAGGGATTCCCATCACAGGGGACATGGTTTCCTATAGATTAAAAGTTTGTTTGGTCTGGTTATCAATGACAATAGTGTGACTATGCCAGTAAATGTTTAACAACCAGTCACCTTTTTCTACCTCTGGGGAAAAGAGGGCTCTGGTTTGTAACATTTGCAATTCCTGTGGTGTAAATACTCCCATTGTGCTGATTTCAAGCTGATGTCGCAGAATGCAGAGTAGGGGAGATTTGGGCAGTGAGCACTCACAAACCAGTAGAGTAACACCATGGGGGGGAAATTGGAGTGAGTTTTTTCCATTCTGGCCAACATATTGAGCCCCAAGTTCATGTCTCTTGGAAGGCATTGATCATTCTCAGGTTTAAAGTACAGCACTGCATTACCTAATTATTTCTCCCTAATTTAGTTGGAGGGGGGTCTTTGATGGTTGTAACTTACTTCCTTGAGAGGCTGGTTGGGAGCTGACATGTTCTTGGCTTTCTTAAGTCTATGCTATTTTCCCATCAGATATGAAGGGCCTTCCCACAAGTCCTCCACATCTTTTAAACATTATTTTACGTGGCTGGATGGCAGAATTCTGTGTTCCTTATCCAGTTCCTTCCTATATGACAGGTCCCTCCTCTTAAAGAGATCAAAGTGACAACTGTAGTTGGATTGGGTATGGTTTATCTCAGGAACTGGCTTGGCTTTTGTCACAGTACCATGGTCATGCTAACTGCATGCATTGAGTTAAGAAAATTGTGTGCTTTTTTTTTTTTTATCTTCCTTCCGTATAGAGAGCCCTTCCTGGTCCTCATCATGGCACAGGAAGTTTGTATTTGTGATCCCATAGAAAAGTTATTGGAATTCTAGTGAGTTAATTCCAATCTACTGCTTCCAGTGGAACCCATGGCAAGAATAAAGACACTAAGGCATATTTGTAGTTATGGGGAGCCAAGGGGCCGTAAGTCCAGCCATGATGATGGCCATCCAGAACAAAGGTCTATACTCAGAACCAAACCCAGATTTTATTAATTTATGAAGAAGGGAGAGGCTTGAGGATGAGTGGCTGTGAGAGTGGTGGGAAATAAGCGAGTGCCGTGAGCTGGGCTAGGTAGGAGCCTGAAATCACCTCTGCCATATGCAGAGAGGATATGCAGAATGAGTAATCTGCATAACACAATTGAGATAGTATCT